TCAGCAAGACCTGAAAATAGGAAGAGAGAGTGCGAGGCGAAGGGAGTGAGAAAGGGAGTTCCAGAGCCTCGGGGTGTAATGGCTGAAGGTAGAGAACTCGAGGGACAAGGAGGAGGCCAGACTCGGTGGAACGAAGGCAACGGGCACTGTTTTGAGGAAAGAGGAGGTCAGAGAGGTAGAGGGTTGCAGAGGAGTGGAGGAATTTGAATACAAGGGTGAGGATCTTGAAGTTAATCCTCTCTGGGACAGGCAGCCAGTGCAGTCTGGCAAGGACTGGGGTAATCAGGGAGCGGAGTTTGGTGCGGGTAAGAATGCGGGCGGCAGAGTTTTGTATGACCTGGATTTTATGGATGGTAGTAGAGGGGAGACCGACGAGGAGGGCATCTGAATAGTCCAGCCGAGAGGTGACAAAGGCATGGACCAGGGTTTCAGTGGATTTTGGAGCAAGGTATTGGCAGAGATGGGTGATGCGTCGGAGGTGGAAGAAAGTGGTCCTGGTGAGGGACTGGATGTGAGGAAGGAAGGATAATTGGGGGTCGAACCTGACATCCCCAAGAGGGAGCATATAGATCAGAAAGAGGAGGGGGCCAATGGATCCTTGGGGTATCCTGCAGGGATGAGAGTGGGAGGAGAAGCCGTTTGTGCAGGTGTACTGCTGGCGGTTCATGAGGTAGGACCAAAACCAAACGAGAGCGGTCCCACTGAGGTGGATGACGGAGGAAAGGCGGTGGAGGAGGATGGCGTGATCGACTGTGTCGAAAACGGCAGAGAGATCCAGGAGGACAAGGAGACAGAGGGAGCCCTGGTCACAGATAGAGAGGACGTTGTTTGTGACTTTCACAAACGCAGTCTCTGTACTGTGGGTAGGGCGGAAACTGGACTGGAAGGATTCGAAGAGGGAATGGGAGGAGAGGTGTGCGCAGAGTTGATTGGCAATAACGCATTCTAGGACTTTTGTGAGGAAGGGCAGATTAGAGGTAGGGTGGTAGTGGCTGGGGTTTGAGGGATCTAGGGAAGGTTTTTTGAGGAGGGGGGTGATGACAGCAGTTTTGAGAGGGGCAGGGACTGGGACTGATCCTGAGAAGAGGGACTGGTTGATGACATCAGCCATTAGTGGGCAGAGGAGAGGGAGTTGGGTGACCATCAAGTTGGTGGGGAGGGGGTCAAGGCTGAAGGTGGTGGGTTTCATTGAGGTGATGGTGGGTGAGAGGGAGGAGGGAGAGATGGGGAGGAAGGAATGTAGGATGGGGATCGTGGTAGGAGCTGATGATGGGGAGGGTGAGGGGGAACGGAGAGAGGGTGGTGGTGGGTGACAACAGGCAGGAGGATGAGGCTGCCAGGCAGAGGTTATATATTTTGGAGGAAAAGAAGTCCATGACCTCCTCACACTTGGCATTGGATGTGAAGATTGAGGAGGCCTGAGGGCCGCACGGAGAAGGTAGTGGATGGTGGAAAAAAGGATTTTAGGATTGTTTTTATCCTCCAAGATGATGTTGGAGCAGAAGGCCGTTTTTGCTCGCATCAACGAACAGCGGTAACTGTGGAAATGCTCGAGCCACAGTTGGCGGTGAACTGTCAGGCCAATTTTCCACCATCTGCACTCAAGCAGCCGGGTTTGGAGATGGTTGTTGTACCAGGGGTATCGGGTGTTTGGTAATGGTCCTGGATTTCAGGGGGACGAGGGAGTTAAGGTGGAGGAGAGGCGATCATGGAGCAGCTGGACGGCTGCTTCAGGATCTCCGCGAGTGGAAGACCAGAGGGATATTTGATGATGTGAGGGCATTTGTGAGGGTCTCAGGGGGTAGCCTTTTCTATGGGTGGTAGAGGATGGTTGAGGGTTTGGTGGAGGAGAATGTGAGTGGAGAAGGAGATGAGGAAGTGATCTTGTCCACTATGCTAAGGTTGGAAATGTCAAGGCCGTGGGTGATGACGAGATCGAGGGCATGGCCACGGTTGTGGGTCAGTGAATTAATGTGAAGGGTGAGGTTTAGGGAGGAGAGGAGGGCAGTGAAGTCAGAAGAAGTGGTGCAAGGGGAGTTTAGGTGGAGGTTGAAATCGCCCATTATGAGCAGGCTTTCGGAGCAGAGGGACAGGGAAGAGAGGAGAGTAGAGATTTCAGAGAGGACGAAGACAGGGGGCTTAGGGCGCGATAGACCAGGAGGATTTTCTGTGGGAGAGAGGGATGTAAGAGGGTGAGGTGCTCGAAGAAGGGGAAGCAGCCAAAGGAATAGGGGGTAAGGCCAAGGGAGGCTTTGGAGAGCAGGGCCACCCTGCCGCCACGTTCATATTCAACTGGGGGAGCAGTGGTCCTGGAGTCGAGGGTGGAGGCGGAGAGGTAGAGTTGGGTGTCATCCACATCCATCTGGAAGTTGACCCCATGTCTACGGATGATGTCACCAAGAGGGAGAATGTAGATTTTGAAGAGAGGAGAAAGGACAGAGCCTTGAGGGATGCCACACGTGATGATGCAGGGATGGAGGAGAAGCTGTTAATGGAGACAAAGTGGAGATTGTGGGAGAAGTAGGATTTGAACCAGGCACGGGCAGGTCCGTGAAGGTTGAGCTGAGCGGAGAGGCGGTGGAGGAGGATAAGTCGGTCGACAGTATCAAAGGCAGCAGAGGTCGAGGAGAACAAGGAGGCAGAGAGAGCCCTGGTCGTAGATGTTCAGAATGTCATTAGTGACTTTCACCAGGGCTGTTTCTGTTCTGTGGGCAGCACGGAAATCCGATTGGAGGGGTTCAAAGAGGGAATTGCAAGAGAGGAAAGAGCGAAGCTGGGGCACGCCAATTCGTTCCAGGGCCTTGGAGAAGAAAGGGAGGTTGGAGATGGGGCGATAGCTGGAGACTAGTGATGGGTCCAGGGAAGGTTTTTTGAAGACCAAGGGGACATAATTAGACTGCTTGTCAAGAATTCACCACTATAAACCTAGACTATAATGCAATGGATTACACATAAATCAAAACAGTTGATGTTGTGTTAATTAATTTCATCAAAAAGAATTGATAAATTGTGTCTAATTTGCAGGTGTGTTAATCATATGAAAATTCAATGTTTTCACGTGCCTGTAATTGTATAATTAACAACCAATGTGATCGTTTCATTGATTGTTAACTTTTATTCATATATGATGTGCTGAACCTATGCCCATTTAAGGGCAGACCTAATAAAAGTTTTTACTGGTTGGGAATCTAAAAGGGTACTTAGGAGGAACTACTTCATGCAGAGATTTGTGAGATTGTGAAGCTCACTGCCTGAAGCTCTGGTTGAATGCATTCAAGAGTAAGCTAGACCTTCACATGAGGGAGAGGGGAATGGAATAGAAGGGTAGAGGAGGGAGTAAGGAATGGAGTCTCGTGTGGAGGACAAACACCGGCACGGACTGATGGGGTCCTGTTTCTGTACTTTACATTCTTTGTAAATCTTTGTAAACATATCTAAGTAGTATTAGTGTTAATTAAAGTAGTGTTTTCCCAGCCTGCCTTTAATAATCCTTGGTATTTGGTCTAGCGCCTTTCACATCTGGAGTCCAGCCCAAAGTGCTTCATAGAATCTACTGTTAAGTGCAGTGAATATTTGTTTGGTGGGTGAATGGACACAGAATGGGCTTCTTTGGACAAGAGGGCACAGTTTTATGTTGGAAAAGATAGCTTTAGGGCAGACATTTTGGTAGTAGAAGCCAACCCTCTGGCCTACAAGCAACAACTGCAATGCTGTAATGGAAAGATCTCGTAGTATCAGACCATAAGTGCAGAAATACCTTCATTTGAACCTCTCTTGTGATCTTGTGAAGCCTCTCGTTTTCATAAAAATAATAATTCTGCATTTGATATAATGCCTTATCATGTCTTCGAGACGTCGCAAAGCACTTCACATAATATACTGTAAAGTATATAAAGTCGGCGAAATGCGCCGACAAAATATACTCCTTATGGAACAAAGGGAATAAAGTGCTTCATAGGATTTACTGCAAAGTGTATATGTGTATTTTGTAGGCAAACACAGCAACCAAATTGCACACAGCAAATAACCATTAAGTGAATGATCAATTTCATCTGGGGGAGTGTTGGCCAGGACACCAGGAGAAACTCCTATCTTTTTTCGAAAAGTGCCATGGGAACTTTAACTTCCAACTGAACAGGCAAGACGAGAGCACCGTTTAATGCCTCGTCTGAAGTACGGCACCTCCAACGATGCTACGTTACCCCAGCACTGCAATAGAGAATCAGCCTCATCTGTAAGCTCAAAGTCCTGTCGTGGCAATGTCCCACAAACAGCCAGGAAGCGAATGATTACTTTTATCTGGGCCAGGATTGATGGTCAGACATTGGGAGAAACTCCCTTCTCCAGGTTTTACAAATGGCTTTGAAGTTCTTTTGTCCTCACTTGTAATATCATTTTATACATAAGGCTCCAGTTACACCTACACTTATTTTTTCATAGTTCAATTGATTGGTTTAAGCTGAACTAACCATATTAAGAGGTGCAGGATCTTTAAACAATGACAAAAATAATATACATTTTAGGAAACCCTGGAATTTGATACTTGTCCGCATTTGTAAATACATGTGAGGTCTTTGTTATCAATCTCTCATGCAAAGATGCAGTTTTTTGACGAGGTCTACCTTACTTCTACATAAAAGGACTGAATGTTATTAGAAATGTGGATTCAAATCATTTATTTTATAACAGTTAAAAAAATGCAAACCACTATGAACGACAGACACACCTGCATTTCTCTTTACCATAAAACGCTTCAATGAAAGAAAAGTTAAAAGATACAGTGATAATGATATAAAATATAATTCAAACAGAACACTGAGACCAGTCATAGCATCCAAGAACTCAGAATTGTATGAAGAGCAGGTGAGCTTGTTCTGTTTTTGTAGATTGAAATTGACAACTATTGTGTTGCTTAGTTGGATATTTTGGACCACGTAGGAAGCAGATGAACTCAGACAGGTCCTGGTTCCAGATACAGTCCAGACACTGAGAAGGCAAACAATTTCAGTTAATCTACGGCACGCTCCAGTCCACACACTGCATGATATTCACACGTTAACACAAGCAGCAAACGTGCTACAGTAACAGCTGCCATTTGAAAACACATGGTGTAGCGCATAATCTATGATAACACGCAAACTGTTTTTAAATCCTTCTGTTTAGAGAGGCTTCCTAGCGGATGATGACCAGTAAAATGCAAATGGACGGCATAGTGATTGAAATCACCATTCTTGCCTTTTGGTAGACTTTATAGGGTTGGGATATTGCCGAACCCTACATGAAACGATATGGATTACTGATCCATCTCACCAATCTGGGAGAGGCGTTAGAAGGTTTCCAGCATTTCCCCCAGATTTGTGTTTTCTGGAGAAGTTGTGAAACTCCTCAGTTGCTTTGAAGTTCACTTTTGGCACAATCCGACTGTCCGCATTGGTGCAAAAGACAGTTCATCTTTGTTGACAACGTGAGACAAGGATGGCAAGCACCACGACCAGTACCTTCACTGCACACATCAGCTGTAATATCAGATATCAACAAGAATATCAAGTGGCACAAAGCCTTTCTTCTTCCCACTGCACACCTTGATGAAGCCATTAATCTCCTCACCCTTGTCCACGCAGATCTGCAAAAAAAATAGAAACATGTAAAAGGCTGCATCATGGTTAGTCTTGTTTTAACAATATCCCAGCATCAAACAATCAGTGAGTTGATTTTCAAGAATTGCGACAGTGAAAAAATACATATGACAATTTTTTACATTGCCACGTCACCAAATTAAGTTAACAACAACTTGCATTTATATAAATTCAATCAGCGTCTCGGAGCTCTTAACAGTGGCGGAGTCTGATGCCGGCAGTAGGTGACCATAAGGTCGTTACGAAGAGGAAGGTCTTTAGTCGTGATCTAAAAGAGGGGAAGGGGAGGCAAGATGGAGAAATTGAGGGAGAGGTTTCCAACTCTTCAGGGTTAGTGGCTGAAAGTGTGGCCGCCGATGGTTGAATGGAGGGAACGAGGGACTATCAGGAGGCTAGAGTTAGCCGAGGGGAGGCAGGATTAATAAATTAAACGATTAATTACGAGTAACTCTGGGCCAGCATCAGACAGTCGAACACACACTGATCTTGGGTTTTGTGCTGGTACAGCCAATTTATATCTTGGAGATGTAGTATAGTCGATACATTTTTCTGAAGTGACCCAATATCTTATTTCCTATGTCTTGCAGTGTGAAGGCCATGTACAGTTTAGGCCTTGTACGATTTATCCAATATCAAATTTATTGCAGTTCACAGATAACCAAATACCATTTCTTTCCCGGAATGGGAAGTTCTATTTATGCAATAGGTGTGGCCTTAGAAATGGTTTTAAAAGGATGTCTATGGCTACATTGTGAGAAAAATGGGCTCCTCTCAGCCCCTACCATAATAGTAGTGTGCATTAAGAAACTTCTTGTCCTTCCTGAAAGCTAAACCCAATATGTCTCTTTAGAAGAGATATGTTTCTATATCAAGTGCAAACATTTTTATTATTATTATTTTAAAATCTTTACATTTAGAGAAAATTCCATCTCTCTTTTCTGTAATTTTTCATTTTATGGATAGTGACATTTAAAACTACACTAATGTTATAGGAATAAAGATACAAATTCTAAGCATCGTAAGGCTGAGATTATAAAATATTTTACAAGAGATTGAATAAATATTTGAACAAGAACAATTGAAAAAGGTTACAGTGGGGAGAGCAGGGAATTGGGATTATGTACAATTAGGATTGAGATTGGAGTTAGAGCAGATTGAACTGGGATTAGAGTAGGTAGAATTAGGATTCAAGTAAATAACTCCAGTGGATAAAATAGCACTGGTTTAGACCTGCTGAATGTTCCCAGCGATCTCTGTTTTTGTTTCAGATTTCAGGCATCTGCAGTATTTTGCATTTTATTTATGTTTAATTCACTGCCACTTCCCTTCTAGGAATGCCTACCTTGAAGAAGTTTTGCTCTTCTCTCCGATGTGACTTTTGTTCTTCCCTTTTTACCCTGGTCACCTTCTTTGCTCCTGTCCTTCACCCCATTTTCTGCTTTGATTTTCTTGCCCCGCCTGCTCTCTCCATTAGGCCTTAAAACCTCTTCCTCCCAACTTCCCCCAGTTCTGACGAAGGGTCGTGGACCCGAAACGTTGACCCACTTTCCCTTCTCCATAGATGCTGCCTGACCTGCTGAGTGTTCCCAGCAATCTCTGATTTGTACCAGTTTAGACTGGATAGACTAAGTGTGATCCATGTGTAGTTGTATGATTCTCTGAGAAATCTTTATGTCTCTAGTACTATCTGTAGTATTCTAATATTAACTAGCTAAAACCAATGTTTAATGCAAATACCTAAAATAATAAAAATTAAAACATAATTTCCCTTCTCTTCACTGCTCTTCTCTTGGGATATCCTCCTGATGTGAAAGGCTCCATACAAATATAATTTGTTGTTGTTCTTCTTCTTCTTCCCTTCTCTTCTCTGATCTCTTGTTTTTAGTATAAAGTTTACCTTTTACCTATTTCCTAACAGCATAGCAGGATAAAACATTGGTTTTGTTCACTGAATAAATGTATGAATCACTTCTAACAAAATATAAAACAACAACTTGCATTTATTTAGCTCCCTTTGTCTTGGAGCTTTTAATGTAATAATAATTACTTTTCATCCAGGACCTTTCATATATGGAGGATGTCTCAAAGCGCTTTGCAGGAATTACTGTGAAGTATAGGGACTATAATTTTTAAGTGAAATATTTTGGTTGCATTAATTCAAAAATATGNTTTTTTTAAAGAAGGTGTTTGTGCCATTGTTTGAAGAATAGAATCACTTGTGCAGATTTTAATTTTCATCGACATTTAAATTCAATAACAAATAGGACCTAGGAAAGGTACATACTTGATTTTCCTTTACATTTATCTCTCCTTGTTCTTTACAGCCTGTGAATAGTTTGGTGCATCTGAAGATCCTTTCACCCAGCATCACCCTTTGGACAAAGGTGGCAGGAAAATATCCCACTCGGTCTTCAATTTTACCCTGAAAAATGCAGGGAAAGAAAATATTTAGCAAAGGTAACATAGTGCAATATCCATAACATTCTAGCTTTTCTCAAAACAAAATTGCAGCACAATAGTCTGGCCCAGTTGGTAGACTCTTGCCTCGAATTCAGAAGGTTGTGGGTTCAAGCCCCACGTCAGAACTCAAACTTGCATAGTCAAAACTGACACTTCAATGCAGTGCAGGGGTGTGCTGTATAGTATGCAATACAGTCCTTCAAAGAAGACATTAAACCCAGGTCCCGTCTGCCTGTTCAGGTGGATGTTAAAAATCCCACGGCACTATTCAAAACAGAAGGGAGTTTCTCCTGATGTCGTGACCAACAAGCCCTCAAATAAAATTAATTAGTCATTCAGTTCATAACTGGATCGTAGTGTGGATATTCTGAAAAGACGAGATCAAATGGCAGATGATGGGACATCCTATTGTGAAGCACTTAACACTGCAGAGTCGAGGAGGAATGAAGGTCTTCCATCGGCCTTCTCTTTCACACAGATTTCAGATACACTGAGGCAAGGTCAGTGAGCACACAAGAATTAGGTGCAATACACACCGATAGAGATATATACATTTCCCCTTTATTTGTGAAAAAAAACACATTTTTCTGTGGGAATAGTGCATGGTGTTGCAAGGAGCTGCTGTTTATGCCCTTCTGAAAAATAACACAATTTCGGATGTCTAAACAAGCACTGAAAAGGTGTAGATACTTCAATCCCTTTGCACGAGTTGGATGCAGCTACTATATCACAAAAAACATGTTAGCTCCTCATCGGAATATCTGATATTATTTAACAATCACCATTCGATTTTACTTCAAATTATATAGTATATCTTAATAGGTGCAGTTGGTGTACTAAGAAAGTTTTACTCTCCAATTCCTCTTTCAAGATGTGCAATCTATAAACACATCTTAATATCCTCCAATCATTTTTCACCTTTTTTCATTTTGCAAATCACTCTCGTATTTATGTTTCAGATGAATCTTAACATAAATCAGGCCTTGTATATTTTGTTTAAATAGTCTACCCACACTACTTGTTCTGTTACCATAGCAAATGGTAACACATCCATTACAAAATGTACTTGTACATTCCAGTGAAGCCTTTCCTGTGAAATAGACAACTGCACAGAAGCAACAATGTATATTTCACTTATCCATCAATCATACAACATTTTGGAAAGTTCAGTACGTTACTCATAGAAATTGCATGAAGTTGCTCAACTGATTTCTCCTCATAGCTTATTCTGACAGGCGTGTGTTCACTAGATACAGTGTATAACACGTGCTCTTCACCAATCAATCCGTACTGTAAGCAGATATGAAGCAAATGGCCAATTTATTTTGGGGGAATTGTTGATGAGGAGATTGGGAGAAACCCCTATGTTAATTACCCTCTAGGTACAGAAATAGCATAAGAATCTACTCAACAATTTATTTTTTACATGCTACAAATCTCCTGTCATGTTATGGGGGAGATACAAGCAATCACATTTGTGCTATATTGCCTATGACTATGTCTATGGCATATTGTTTAAAAATATATATTCTTGTTCTCTTTGTTCCCTATAGCTGGACCTGGGAGAGCTGTGTTATAATCTCCACTTTTGTAGAGTCCGGTAGTGTATTGGTTAGAGCACTTACCTCGCAAACGAGAGGACCCAGGGTTAATTGCTTGGTGAGGTTAAACCTTAGGCAGGTTTTGTAACTCCACAAGCCTCTATTTACCCAGCAGTAAGTAGGAACCTAGTTATTAGTTGATTGGAGGATTGCTTTCCATGAGTAATAATCCTTCCCGATAAAAAAAATTATTTAATCACTCAATCCACAATTGTTTGTGGGACACTGTTGTGTACAATTGGTTGCCGTGTTTTGCCCACAAAATATAGTCAATTCACATTACTGTATATTCTGAGAAGCACTTTGAGGCATTTCAATGACATGATAAGGTCCTATAACAAATGCAAGGATTATTGTTCTTATAGTTTTATCAGCAAAAGTAGAATTGGACAGCATTTCTTTGCAACACACGCATATTTCATCACATTTGTCATGAAGTGCGTTCCCATCTACAATACTACACATGGGAACTCTCAACTGTGCTTTGTGATCAGGGGGTGGCAGAGCATGTACGTCCCAAAAGAGAAAAACAAATTATTCTAATGCAAGGAGTTTAGCAAAGGGTAAATAAATAAATAAAAAAATATTAATAAAGGTCAAATAATATTTGCTACTGAGCACAAAGATTGACACGATAACAAATGATAACTGACTGTTGTCTCCACAGGTGGTTTCTACAAAGAAACAACATAAAGGTTATGGTGGAATGTAGAGTTCATCCTCGTCTGTCATGCCTTAGGCAAAACATTATTTATTATATCCTACTTGTCACAATAGAGTTATTTATAATAAGCTCATGCTGTAAAATTAAAATAAGTAGGAATTCCATGTAGGCAGTATAACAACAATAACATTAATAATGACAGCAACTTGCATTTATACAGTGCCTTCAAGCGGATTTAGTGTTTTGGAGTGCTTAACAGTGGTGGAGCTTGGCACTGAGTTGAGATGACTGTAGGCACAGTCAAAGACAACCTCAAGTGCGAACTGAAGATGAGCAAGGTGGAAGCAAGGCAGAGGGATTGAGGCAGAGAGTTCCAGAGTTTCTGGGTGTTGTTCTGGTCATCGCAATATAAAAAGGATATTGCAGCGATTGAGAGGATACAGAGGAGGGCAACCAAAATGATTGAGGGAATGGAGGGACTGGACAATTAAGAGCAATTATATAAACTAGGCATGTTCACACTGGAGAAGAGAAGGTTGAGGGGCGATATGATTGCAGTCTTTAAGATTTTGAAGGGAAGAAAATGTAGACTATGATAAGCTGTTTTATCTTGTACTGAACAGTAGAACCAGAGGACGTGGCCTGCAATTGAAGGAGGGTAAATTCAGAACAAATCTGCGGTAACATTACTTCAATGAGCGAGTAGTAAACTTATGGAACAGGCTCCCTAGGGAGACAGTGGAAGCAGAAAATGTTATTTGTTTCAAGAACAAATTAGACAGATTTCTGATAGAAAATAATATCTCAGGATACAGTATATAGTTTAGCACATGACATGTCAAGCAATCGCCAGGTAGGCAAACTAGATGGGCCTTGTTCTTCTTTCATCTAGCAAATTCTTATGTTCTCATGTTCTATGTGTAGTGGCTGAAGGCTGCTGACAATGGAGTGGAGGGGACGAGGGACGTGTAGGAGGCCGCAGCTGGCTGAGCGGAGGTGGCTGATAGAAGACTGGGTTATAAGCAGGTTGAAGAAATAGAGAGGTGCCAGTAACAAATATAACTAGCTCTGTATGGAAAACATATACACTGTTGTATATATTAAACATATACAGTATATATAGTAAAAGCACTTCAGTTTGACTGACTCTTCCATTTAAAGATTTGGCTACGTCAGTAAACCAGCTGTCCATAATTTAGGAATCACAGATGCTGTGTAAAGTTAACACCAAGAATGAGGAGGTGGGAGATACTCATTAGTCAGTCAAAGCAACAGCAGAAACCATGTGAGTTCTTTCCAGAATTATCTTATTCTCTGTGTTTGAGAACCTTGCTACCCAATGCAGTCGGCATGTGTTTGAATGATCTAAAGATGTTCTGGGTTGAGGAGGCAGCAATAAAAATCCTGCACGAGCACATCCTTCTGTGAGCAACTCCACTAACAGGTGCAATACTTATTCAATCAAAGAAGGGAAGAAGCAAAACTCAAATAACAGAATTCATTAGACATGGCTGGGCCATAGATATCTGCCCCCTTCCCTCATCTACTTCAAGGACAGCCTCAAGTCCTTCCTCTTTGACTGCACTTTTGGTCACTCTACCCCTTTAACTCCCAGCTCATATACCAACCTTAGACTGTCCAGTGGCTTGGGATGTCCTCCTGATGCAAAAAGCGCTGTATAAATGAAAATTAGTATTGTATTGTATAAATGACTACAACAACAATTTACATTTGTACAGCACTTTTCATGTTGGGAGGATGTCTCAAAACGTTTCACAGAGCCAACTGAAAGCCCGAGCTGTGAGTGGGGGAGCTGAGGAAGACGAAGAAGGGGAAGGGTGACCAAAAGCACGATCAAAGAGGAAGGTCTTAAGGCAGACTTTAAAAATGGGGAGGAAGAGAGCGAGGAGTTCCAGAGAATGGTGGCAGATAGTGAGGCAGAACAGGCGGAGGACATGAAGCAACGTTCAACAACAACAACAAATTGCATTTATATAGCGCCTTTCACATTGGGAGGACATCCCAATCTGCTGGATCCTAAAGGATTTGCACTTGAGCTGCAGGCAGAAGTCAAGAGGGGTGGAGGGCAAGGGGGATGGGGTAGGAAGATGACCAAAGACTTGATCAAAGAGGAAGGTCCTGAGATGGGCCTTGAAGGCGGCAAGGGAGGGTGCAAGGCAGAAGGGCTCTGGAATGGAGTTACAGAGGGTGGGGGCAGAAAGGCTGAAGGCCCGACCACTGATGGTGGAGCGGGCAGGGCTGGAGACATGGAGCTGGCCAGTGCCCGCCGAGCGGAGGGTACAGCGGAGTGGTGGGATTACAGAAGGTTGCAGAAAGAAGAACATAAATCATGTACAAACACAATATTTCTAGGTGATTTTAGTGCTCATCTTGATATATCTTTTTTATTTCATTGAGAAACCCTTTCAGTTCATACTTTTTAGAGTGACAGTTGATGATGATCAGAAGAGTGAAACAAGGTGATACAGTGAAATGGGAGCTGTTGCTGTCTACCTGGGTCTTGCGTTCTGAATAAATCTGGTCTAAGTGAAAGAGATAAACAGCTGTTCCAATAAGGGTCTCAGTCCAGCTTTTAGTGAACACGTAAATTACTTAGAATTCAGGTCTGATTTGGACAGTTTCCTACAGACAGTGACTGAGGAAGATTGATTGCGAGCTGGTGCAATAGACATCACTATCTTTGGGGCTCACTCAGAATAATTCTGGATTTTCTATGTCTGGTATTGTTTCTTGAACTAGACCTTACATGTCGCTACCACCAGTTGCAAAGAGGAAACATTTTCCACTCCCACTTAAATGATCATTCTATACCTTGAAGAGCACGAATGATTGAAATCATTATGGAAATTAAGTTGCTACAGCAATCTATTAAAGTGCATCTAATTTGAGATAGCCATGTTTAATCAGGAGATATGAATAACAAAAAATTGCTAGTAAAAACATGGTCTTTCTGAATTGTGATATTACACTACTCAGGGTTCATGAGCTACTTTGCCATCTGATAGATTATGCTGATTTCTCACATTCTCCTCAAAGGGGAATTGTATATAGCGCCTTCCACTTTAAAGGACATCCCAAAAACATTCACAGAACAGGGTGGGCACTCAAAATGGAGACAGTAGCCAAGGTGGGGAGGGGTAAAGATGATCAAAAGTGCAGCCAAAGAGCTATGTTTTGAGATGTGTCTTGAAAGAGGAGAGGGAGGGAGCGAGTTAGAGGGATTCCAGGATGGAGTTCCAGAGAGCAGGGTAGATTGTCTGAAAGCCTACCTGCTGACGAAGGGGTGGACAGGATAGAGAACATGAAGCAAGCCAGTGCTCGCTGAGCGAAGGGAGCTATCTTACTATCTGATTTTTTTCCACTCACCTAATCTGTTGAGGGTGGACTAGTACTTTTCCTTCTGCTGGGTACAGTTCTACAGACACCCTCTGGTACCTCATCTAAACTGTCGTTATTCATGTGCAAGTATTGACAATTATTGTAAGATGGCTATTGAATGTATCCTACACTGGCATTATAAGTGTGTGTCAGCCAGATGAGAAGCTGACACATGAACAATGATTACATGTCCACCCCAGCATGGGGCGATGGGGCAATGGGAAGAAAATTAGAATGCTGTAATTTTGAAAAAGTAGGCAAGTGTTTAGCCACCTGTGACCATATAATAATTTCCCCTTTTAATAACTTGCTCTGGATATCCTGGCTATCTAGATCTTTGCATGCTGGTAGAATAATCTTTCTATTACAGCAGAGAATAGAAATTTAGGAAATCTTACCTTCCACCACTCTTCATTAGAATCATCTAGCAGAGTAACCCTGTCTCCAGCCCTGTAAGTTCAAACAAAAATATGTTGACAGTGTTCAATCAAATCATCTCGATCTTGGACATGAAGGAAGTTCAAGTTAAGGATTAAAGGCTATTTCATGGAGTGTTCTTCATACTTCAATTCTATTACCTTGCTCATTCTCAATGTACATTCATACCATAACTTTTCCCCCTTTGAAATATCCCAATTGATTTCTGTATCTTTAAAATACAAAAAAAAATGTATTTTGCCAAGGCGAAACCTTGGGCAAGTTTCCTTACTCCACACGTCTAATAATAATCCCTCAAGAAAAAATAAATAAATTGGTCACTTCAATCCACTACTGTTTGGGGCACTGCTGTGCGCAATTGTCTGCCGAGTTTCGCCCACAAATATACGGTCAATTGACTTTACAGTATATTCTGTGAAGCGCTTTGAGACATCTAGAAGATGTGAAAAGCGCTATATTAAATGCAAGGATTATTATTATTATTATTATTATTAATATTATTATTATCTATGGCCTTCTCGGACTGTGAATTCCACATTCGCAGAAGAAATGTTTAATCGGTTTAGCTATAATTTTAAGATTATTTCCTCCTTTTGCCTACTAGAGGAGTCATACCATATCTATCTTGTCAATTTTCTTCATTAGCTTAAATACCTCAAACAGATCACTCTTCTCACGCTTAACCTTCTTAATGCTGGGACTATAACCCATTTATCCAGTGCCTCATCAAAATTAAATCCCACTTTCATCACTTGTAAAATCGCTTTCAATAATTTATAAAACTCGACACCTAAATCCGTTTGTTCCCTCCCATCTTTCTTATGATTCCTCATTTAGAATGTAATACATTCCCACCTGCCGCTGTGACATCCTCGTGGATTAACACAAGCTTTATTCAACTGCGCCTTATCACCTCTTTGAGACGTCTCAAAGCGCTTCACAGAATATACTGTATATTTTGTGGGCGAAACGTGGCAGCCAATTGCGCACAGCAGTGTCCCACAAACAGTCGTGGGTTGAAGTGACTAATTTTTTCTTCTAAGGCATTATTACCCCTGGAAAAGCGATCCTTCAATTGACTAACAACTGTGTTCTACTTACGTTTAGGTAAACAGAGCCATGTGGAGTAAGGAAACTTACGCAAAGTTTCGCCCTGCAGAGAATCGAACCCAGATCTCTCGCTTGCTTGGCGAGTTCTGTAACCCTGAGGTACAGGACGACAATGGACTAGTTGGACCTCTTGATCTGTTTCAGTGCTCACTTGCTTAATCTGGATATGTCCTCTACAATCTTCAGCTCTCTTCATAATTTACTATACCATCCACATAAAAAGTTGGATATACCCCCCTCTATTCCTAAATCATTTGTTGATAGCTTAAAAAATGGAGACTCCAATCGGTCACTGCTTGCCACTGCCTGCTAACCAGACGGTTCCTTTTATCCTAACATTCTGCTTCCCCCTCCTGATTTTTCTTGATGAAGTGCTCCAAGTGCTCAATTACTCTGTCCTGAGTGATAGATTCTGGTAATTTCTCCACCCCTGTAACATTGTAACATCATAGAGATCTAATGGAATTTAATTTGCTTCTTCCTCTCTTCTTCAATAATGCCATTACATTTGCTATTTTGGCCGACAAATACATAGTCGTTGCCCTGAAATCATGTGAAGTGCTTTGAGATGTTTCAACTATGTGATAAAGCATTATATATCAAAGGATTATTATTATTTTGCAGTCCTCAGGTACCTTTCCTGAATCCATAGTGCTTTGAAAGATTATAACTAATGCATGTCCAATTTCCTTGCCTATTTATTTTCATACCCCTAGGATGGAAACCTAGGCAGTAGAGATTTATGTCTTCAGTCATAATAGTTTACCCATTAGAAATGTCTTGTTTATATTAATCTTTGTCATTTTCTCCCCTTCACTAATCTGCACTCTTCCCTATACCCCTGGTATCATATTCTTTTCTCATAGTGAAAACTAAAGGAAAATATTCATTTGCTGGTTCTCTATTATTATGAATCATTTTTTAATGATCTTCTCCAACTGCTTTACCAATCTCCTCTTCTTGAATCACTTAGAAACCATTTGCTGCTGCTCAATACAATCTGAATTGCATGTTGTTTTCACACTTGTAATTTGTGATCCTTATATTCTTGCTCTTATTATTTTAATTCTTTCAGCTTTATGAAAAAAAATCCTCCCACCCAGCCCTCCTTCTTGCTAATTTCCCTAGTTTTGTACATTTGAAAAGGTACAAAAAAAAGTACATGCCTTAAGGTTAATTCTTTTCACATTGGGGGAAAGTACAGTATTGTACATGCGAGTGCTTTCATGTTTGATTGGATGTAATGTGAGGACTACATTTGCTGAGAAGCCTGTCATTATTTGGGTTAACAAAGTGCTTCCCAGGAAAGCGTTAGTGTAAATGCTATCTCGGGTTGTAAGGTGCTCGTCTTCCAAGGAATCAAACATAAATCACCCCAACTCACGAGAATTTGGAGCTGAGGTGACCCCAGGTTGATCAATTACTTTCTGATCGAGTTCAATATCTGGAGCTTGAAATTCCTCATATTAGCAGGTTTAACAATTGTCTTAAAATGTAAGATTGTAGAGTTTCGGGAAATAACTTTTTATATTCAATCTTAATTTAAAAGCCTATTTTCCATAGTATCCAAAAGTGTAAAAAGATCAGCTTTCAGACTAAGACTGAATTTAAGCCTGTTTTAGAAAGTTCCTCAATAATCTTGAATTTTAATACAATGTTTAAGACAGTTGACTTATCAGCCTAGCTCAGTTGGTAGTACTCTCTTCTTTGGTGTCAGAAATTTATGGTTCAAACCCCACCTCAGGGCTATGAGTTCATAACTGACACTCTACTGCAATGCTGGGGATGTGCTGCATTGTTGGAGATACTATCAACATAAGAACAAAATAATTTGCTAGGCAAAAGAAGACCAAGTCCATCCAGTTTGCCTTCCACCATCCTTGCGGGTGCTTGACATGCCGTGTCCCAAACTATATATTGTATCCCAAGATATTATTTTTTAACAGAAATTTATTTATGTCCTTCAGATGAGATATTAAACTGAGGTCTTACTTGCCTGTTTGAATTGGACCCTAAAGGGCCCATAACATTTATCAAAAGGGCCAACAATTCTCCAGAAATAAAATGGTCATACACTTCATGGCTGTCTGTGGGACAATGCTGTGTGCAAACTGGTTGCCATATTTTGCTTACGAATACATAGTCACTACACTTTGCAGAAAATGCTTTGAGGCGTTTCGACATAAGGCACCATATCAAATGCAAGTATTATTCGAAAAGAACATGAGAACTTTCAGGTTCCTGAAACTATCTGAAGCCTGAAACAAATCGGCACTTTCTAGTGTTTTGGCTTAAACCTAAGTGGTAAAGTGGAGAGCATTACACTGGTGGTTTTCATCTGTCTACTCAGATCTCTGTTTGTTTGGTATTTCTTGCTGCTGAGCAATGGAAAATTCACAGTTGTCAGTAAGGTTTCCATTATAAATCAAAACAGGAAAGTAAGCCATTTGGATCACAGGACTGTCTGCGATGAGAATACATCTTATATTTAAAGCCATGTAAACACTGAACTACACAGAATGATAGAATCAAAGAAATGACAGCATAGGAAGAGCCTTTCGAACCTAGCCTGGTGTTAAGTCATCTATGGACGTTAGCTACTATAATCGCAATTATTTATACTTTCCCTTCATCCTTTTATATTCCTATGAATAAAAATACTTACCCAATTCCCTTTGAGATGTTTTTATAATCTTAGAATAGCCATTTATTCTGATAACACTGCATGAAAAGGTTCCTTTTAATCTCTCATTTAATTCTAATCGTACAACCCCTGTATATCTTTTGCCTTTAATCTACATGGATGAAAAAGCATTATTGCAAGGTACACTTTGCATGTGCCTGTTGCAGTTACTGACTTTCGGAGTAAAAGTCAAATTGAATCCTGCATTGCAGAAAATATTTGTATATATATAGTCAGCCTCCCATTATTTCATATTTTGGTATAGCATGGGTCCATTTAAAATGCAGGTGTACCAGAAATGGATATACTTCTGGCTTCCAGAGGTGACTAGCTGGCTGTCTGCACATAGCATGCAGAGGTAGACGTTCTCCTGGTGTCTGGTATCCCAGCAACTGTTGGAAACACTTGTGAGAGTGGTTGCTGGTTTACTGTGTGCTGCACTCGGTGCAGTTTACTAACATCGGTGGCGACATGCGATCCAGAAGTGTTGACCGTTTGTATAGAATGACTCATTACAACATGGATCTAACTTTATGGCCCCAAACCTCCATATGCTTCATTTACACAGCCCCATTGGTGGTAACGCTCAAAAATCACAAAAGCTTTGGCGATGGACCTTTCCCCAGTCTAGGAATGACTCAAAGAGGACATTGATCCGAAAACTAAAATATATGCCTTTATAAATGTAAACTTCTCCTACCCACAGTCAAAAATGGTCAATTTATGTGCTGAACAAAGTGAGGCATGTCGGTGTTAGAGAATGAACTTGTGTTCACATAATCAGCATTAAGCATTCTCAAGCCAAATTTAGAATGTGCCAAGTGCAATACAAAACTCCTTTTATCCTTCACCAAGAATGAGCTGCAACCAAAATCTCAAAGGAACACTTTTTACTTCATATTTTTTCCATCAGATATCCTTAACACAGAAAAAATGTTCAATGCATTTAGCCAATCCACAGGGCACACATAAACCAGGCTCTCTATTTCTCAATTAGGTTAGTGTTATTTTTTAGTTAGTTTAATAATAAGACCAGAAACCAGATAAGACTAAGCCCTTCCCTGGTCCTAATGACTTACCTAGTATGATTTTAATCTCAAAATTAGTTAATCGAAATACAGTAAATCAGCAACTACTCTCACAAGTGTTTCCAGCAGTTGCTGAGATACCAGACACTAGGAGAACGTCTGCATCTGTGTGCTATATGCTGACAGCCAAC